GATTAGTTTTGTCTCTTGCTATCTCCCAAGGTTGACGAATCAGACAGCTTGACATAAACAATGCGTTTTTAAATGGTGACTTATCCGAAGAAGTTTATATGAAACAACCAAAGTGGTTTGAAGATCCTACAAAACCTAATCATGTCTGTCGACTTCACAAAGCTCTTTATGGTCTTCGACAGGCACCAAGAGCTTGGTTTACCAAGCTATAACAATACTTGGTCTCACATGGTTTTCATGCTTGTCAGTCTGATACATCACTATTCGTTCATCATTCCTCACATTCCACCATATATGTTCTGGTCTATGTCGATGATCTTATAGTGATAGGAACAAATGATGAACATCTCCAAGGTTTTATCAATGCCTTACATCGTGTCTTCCCCCTCAAGGACCTTGGTGACTTGCATTATTTTCTTGGCATTCAAATTCATCAACATGCTACCAGCCTCACGATGTCACAACAAACATATATCAGTGACATCCTCAACCGTAGTAAAATGATCATGGCCACTCCCATCACCACATCAGCTGATCCACAGACTCGTCTTCAGCGTGATGGTGATCCATTTCACGTTCCCACTCTTTACCGGTAAATTGTTGGATCGCTACAATATGCCGCCATCACATGACCATATATCGTCTACTCGGTTAATTGGGTGTGTCAATTCATGCACTCACCAACCACTAATCACTGGCAACCTGTCAAATGTATTCTTCGGTATCTAAATGGAACAATTGATAATTGTCTTCATTTCAAGCCCACCTCTGCCAAATCCCTTCACGCTTACTCTGATGCTAGTTGAAACTCACATCAAGATGATAGCCGATTTCAATACGAATTTGTTGTTTTTCATGGATCAAATTTGATAAGTTGGACCTCTTGAAAACAAAAGGTTGTGGCTCGTTCAAGCACCGAAGCTGAATATTGTTCCTTGCCTTACACCACAACCAAACTCATGTGGATCAAACAACTACTAGCTGATCTTCGCGCCCCGATAACTCAGCCTCCTCTTCATTTGTGTAATAATGTTGGTGCCATATTCATGAGCAAAAATCCAATAATTAGTACACGATCAAAACATATTGCTCTAGATTTCAATTTCATTCGGGAACAAGTCGAATCTGGCCAGCTAAAGATATGTTATGTCTCATCTGTTGATCAATTAGCTGACATTTTTACTAAACCACTAGCCAAAAGTCGCATTCTCTTTCTTCGTTCCAAGCTGCAAGTCCTTTCGCCCTTGAGCTTACCAGAGGGTATTAGCAGATTAAACACATGTTAAATTGATAAAGTCTTTAGTCAAATAGTCAGCATAGATTTACCATAGTTATAGGAGCATTTATCTCATATTTCAGTTGTAATCTCTCTGTATAAATATATGTACATGATATGAATACAGATAACAAGATTCAATTCTGTTCACTACAAGCCTAACACCAACTAAAAACGAAAGGAAATCGTGTTATTGCTAATTAATTGAATCAAATCATACAAAAAGCACAATTTTTTTTATATTTATTTCTAACATATTATAACATATAATCATAGAAAGAATCGCACATACCCATTAATGTTTGATCTCTTCAATGCTATAATAAGACATTGTTCAAAATTGATGAAGTTTGGAACAAGAAAAGAGTAGTCTGAAATATGGTCCGATACAGTGTGTTCGGCATAAGGTGTCTGACATGCTATATACATGGACCACGTTACCGGGTCGAACATTTTTACCCATTTAAATTTTTCAAAATTTGGGTTCGAAATAAACATTCTAGACCAAATGATTATTTTAAAAAGAAACCAACAAAAAAATGGTTAGATTACTTAATTTCTTATTATATTTCATATATTTAGTTAACTACAAATCAAATATCACGAAATTTCTACTAAGAGCCTTTGGCCTAGCGGTATCAAGATGTTTGAAAACGTGTTCCTTCCATAAGGGATTGAGAGTTCAACTTCCGTCGTAGACAAATGAATAGTTAGGGGTAAGATTTAGAGGTGTGTTTATAACACCGTAAATTTTCAACACAATTTTTCGTTTAAAAACACAATTATCCCATTTCAAAATCACAACAATCCCATAATCATCAATTTATCAAAACACATGTTCCAAAACTGAATACATCACAAATCCAGTATCCTCCAAAAACATATCTCTCACTCGGGTGTGTGTACAATCAAACCAGTGCCTTCTCGTGATCCTAAGAGGTACTTGAAACACATAACACATAACATGATAAGCACGAAGCTTAGTGAGTTCTCCAAAATACCACACACATCACATTAGCCACTTAAGGCTAACTTAATGCGACCCTTTGGTCAATGTGTCTCAGAGGAGACCCTTCGGTCCCACAACTTGGGTGGACCCTCCGGTCCTGACTTAGTAAGCCCATAATAACAATACTCAGCATAAATCATAAAGACATAATGCATTATATCAAAATACATAGGTAAGCACATAAGACATCTCGGTCACACAAATATACCACTCATGGTAAGTATAGTGAGAAGACTCACCTCATAATCAAGGCGTTTAAGCAAAATAACTCTTTATGGTTGGTTAAAGCTGGGACATTTGGACTCTATGGACCTCACAAGGTTCATATCTGATGTCTCAATGCTTGGCAAGCACAAGGCATACCAAATCTCAAGGAAATATGGAAAAAACCCCAAAAGTTCTCATTAACAAGATCTAAACAACTTGATCAGCAAGGTAAAGACTTTTACCTTCTAACAGAAGCTCCAAGTGTATGATTCCTGGATCATACAACCTTTTCTCGTTCCTTGCTTGAATCTCCCATCTTCTTCTTCCAATGCTTCACCAAAATACTCAAATATAAGCTCTAACACTCTCTCTTAGCTCAAAGACCGATTAGGGTTTCACTCAGGGAAGTAGGGTCGCTAGTGAGACAGAAATGAGGACATAAGTTTTCTTAAATAGTCCCCAAACCCGGGGATTTAGGGTTTCACCTCACAGTGCCTACTCGATGAGTCAACTATCTGACTCGTCGAGTCGATCATTAAACGCACCTGGTCTAATCGAACTCTACTCGATGAGTTAGGCTTACAGCTCATCGAGTTACACATGAATTCCCAATAATAAATAATAATAAAGAAATACCTGAGAGTCGGGATGTTACAGTGTTAATCGTTCAAAAAAATATCACGAAGTTTCTGTATAATTGGTTATAATTTTCTTTCGCACGTGTCTCCTTACATTATTGTCTTTATCATTCCATCGAATTAACTAATTATTTGATTAACAAAGCATTGCATGTATTAAAAGATAATTTCATGTAAACTTATTTTTTCATAAACATATTTTTAAAATTACCTTTGAAGTATCAATGTTATAAGCTTATAATTAAACGAGCAAGTTAACTACCTTAATAATATTAATTAACTTAATTTTGGTAAGTGACTATCTTGCGACAAACTAAAAGAATCTCCTCTAACAAATGAAAGTTTTTTTTACCACTTATCTATCTCTCATAAGTTTTGATACTTGTCATTTTGTAATATTTTTAAAGTAAATATTATCCACTAGTAGTTGTGAGACCCGTATGATATACGGGTTGAATAAAACAAAATCTAAATATAAAGCTTTAAATAAAAATTTATTTAAATTTGAAATTTGAAATTTAAATTTGAATTTAAAAGGAAACATATTAAATACTATATGAGTTGTAGTATTGTAATTTATTGACCATTTTCAATTAAAATAATTATTAATTGAGATGTAAATATGATGTATTAATTAAGAAAAAATAAAAAAAATGAGAAAATGACAAATGAAAAATACATTTATTCAAAAATATCAAAAAGTAACTTGTGTCTAAGTTAATAAGAGAGTGACATTGACAAAATTATTTTCATTTATTAGGAAGGATTTGTCAATTTCTGGTTTGTTTCAAATTTTAAAATTAAATTCATATATTTTTATATATGTAAAGTATTAAATATAATATATATGAAATTAAATTACAATGAATATGTTTTTTTCTTTCTTATTTTAAAGTTTTACATAAAAAATATTTAATGCTTATATTTTAATGTTTATTTTTTTTAGATTAACTCGTATAATATACGAATGTCGCACCTAGTATATTATTGAAGAGATTGATTATAAAAGAAATTTTGTAAATAAATATTAGCTCATGAAGACCTTAAGAAATAATAAAAAGGGGAAAAAGAGGCATTGGTCATGACTCATGACTCATGAGGTTTACTTTTGGATCGATTCCGGTTATGACTCACGCACTTTTCTTTCTTTATGTCCTTTTTCTTTGTCTTCTATAATTCTATGATTTTTGTAAACTAGAAAATAAGTAACAGCAACATAATTTATATATTTATATGATGAAACAGAATATCAATATTCTAGCTTCTTGGCTGTACGATTTTGTGTTGCTAATTTCTCACAGTAGATATCAATAAATAGCCATGGTTTACGAAAAATTTATTTAATTTCTTTCTTTAATAAATTCTTAAAGTATGCAACCGACAAACACACATAGCGTTACAATTGCACCTAGTCTTGTAATTTTATTTATTTATCTTGTTATTAATAAAATCTTATAATAAAAACTAACGATTATGATATATCTATAATTTCTTTTGTAACCTCGATAAAAGTATACAAGTTCGTTCAATTTGGTCAAAACTCTTTCATAATGAATGATAGATGTGATAATTTCGATCTCAAATATCTTAAATGTTAATTTAGATTGTGTTTTATTTCTTTTGTATTTAAACTTTAACTAAAACCCTTATAACTTACAATGATATCTATTTTTTTTCCCTATATACCAAGTCTACTCTAGTAATGTCATGATGTGATGTCTATTTTTTTTTTTCCTATAGTGCATCCAATAATATCATCGATTGCAACTTCCTCGAATTTTCTGCAATTTAAGTTAACAACTACAAACTTATTTCTATTTTGTGAACAATTAGCATCAAGTTACATCTTACTTTACTAGGTATTTTGAAGATGGGTTCATATAATGATTCCGCTTTGCATTGTTATGACATCGTATCATCATTTGATAATGGAGATCGATCCTCCTCGGGCGTACTTGTAAACCTCACTGAAGAAAGCATCTCAGCTTTGCAGTATTTCTGTGAGGAAATAACTATTTCGGAAATCGAAGACAAGTACAACAAGCCTCTGCCATGGATTGGCATCTACATCTCAATAGCATCATTATTTTGCGTTCTTGCTATGGTAGTTGATTTGTTCAATGGTTTTCGAAAAAGGAAATTCTGGTTTCCATGTAAAGTTTTCTCTCTAAATGCTGTTTCTATCACAGTGATAGCTGTCGCAATGAAACTGCCTGTGGATTTGAATAGTCCAATGCCAGGGTTTTTGGACCAAGCAGCTAAGCAGGGGAGCTTAGTTTTTATGTGCATGATGATGGCTAACTTAATGCCTTCTTTGGCGTCTATGGACAACAAGTCACTTCTTGCAAATGTCATAGGTTTGGCCATTCTCATTATCACCATAATTGTGAATATATATATGGAGATTAATACCGGTGTTATTGTGCCAGCTGGTATTGGTATTAGCACGGCTCTTGATAGATACACTTTCATGGATGTAGGATACATCTACGTGGCTTTGTTACTCTTCTTACTAATACTTTTGATATCTTCTGCTATAACAGCTCCATTATCTAAGCAAATTTTAGAACTCAAGTATCAAGCCATTAGCAAAACCATATTATATAATCATTGTCCTCAAGATACATTTGATATTGAGAAGCTAAGACAACATGTGAAAAGATATTGGATCATGGCAGAAACCGGTAGTCCTCAATTTGTGATGGTTAGTTCTCCGTTATCCTGTGCTTCCGGCATAATTTGTGTAATTGCTGTAGCCATATACACACATCTTCTGGTGTCAATTTCTGTAGTGCCAATTCAGCTAAGATCCCTGTCGGATTATAAGTGGTCAATGGTTGCCACTTTTATCATTCAGTCCATTGGAGTTGTGGGTGTTATTGCGCCAATATGTAGAAGTTTTATGGTCGTGAGCTTCAAATCTTTTTCTGGGTGGAGTAGGAACCATTTGGAGGTTTTTAAAGTAGAGAAGTATTGGACTCAAAAATTGTGTGAATGGAAAGAAAGTCGTATAACTTTTCTATCCGATTGCCATAGAGTAAAAAGTCTTCTGCGTAATTTCAAAAACCTCATTCTGAGCACTCTGATTGGATTTCAAAAGGCAGTTGTGGTAGCATGTAAAATTATAGGGCTCATCCCCGTGGTAGTTCTACTCATTTTAATGTATTGTTCATATTATTTCAAGTCACTGAAAGAAATGATGCTTAGTCCACCCTCTAGAAGTGACTACATAGATGAAGACCTAAGGAAGTGTGTTTTGTTGCTGGAAGACAATATGGAGCTTGCTGAACGAACACTCAAACGAATTTCAAACTCCATGAATCGCTTGATTCAAAAGGCAGAGAAGGAACAAGATAACAACCTCTTAAAGTTTCTTGATAAATCTACTGGATTCCAGGGAGTAGAGAAATTTGAAATTTATCAAGTTCAACCTCTACTTTCTATTGAACTTCCTAACAGTTGGAGCTTACCAATCGTAACCTTAACGTGCATCGCTGCTGCTCTCCCAAATATTGGTAAGGATGCAACTAACTGGTTGATCAAATGTGTTGGTGAAGGTCTTTTTTACACCTGTGTTGTTGAGGAAAGCTTGAACAATGGATGTCAGTATGTAAACATTCAAAAGGCAGCTATGACATCGTGGGATGAGGTAGAAGACAACCACAAGTGGTTAGGGAAAACTTTGGAAAAAAACGCTTACAAAGGAAAAACATCAAGAGAGATTCTTGAATGGTTTGCTCACAAAGCAGAAGAAATTGTGATAGAATTTAGCAAAAGCCTAAATGGAGAAGAACCGGTGGAATACCTTCCAAGGAAGTTGATTGTTGCTAATTCAATGCACCGAATTGCACATTCAATCATGCTTACCTACCAAAGTAACATCTTAGAGATCACCGAAGAACAGCTGTTTACTCTATTATCTCACATGATTGCAGACATATTAGTTGCTTGTTTCACCAACATGCCACGAGTCATAGTAATGAAATGCCATGAAAGTGCAATAGAGAAACGTGAGGCTAGTGTTGAGGCTGCAACTAAGCTTCTTGGTAGGACTACTGAGATAATAAAAAGAATTAAAATGTATGAACTACCAAACATTGATCATGATAAGATGGCATTTATTGATGAATGGCGTCTTCATTTGCAACGTATCCCTTAGAATTCCTTGTCTTTCATATGGAGCCAAGGTAATTTTTCTAACTTCATAACCCAATTCTTTTGATGTATGGGTATATATAATATAGTAATTCTTGTTTCTTTTGCACCTTGAAAGGTGATGTGATGCAGGTAATAAAATTAACACATGTTGCAGTTGACTTGTGTTCACGGTCATCTCTTTATATCTTAGTGCTCCTTCATCAATGGGTTGTGGCATGAAGCCCCTATTGTAGTTATAAAACAATTGGAGAGTATCAAACGAACCTTATATGTGAGGGTTTGGAAAGTGAAGCTTTGGATCGGGAAGAGGAGGTATATTTTCATAATGTTGCATATAGTTTTGAGAAGTGTACCCATATTATATTTTTGATAGACATTGTTTATATTACAAATATTGAATTGGAATATAAATCTTCTAATGCTTTTGCTGGGGCTGTGGTATTTATGTATTAAGGTTGAAATTTTGGAATGTATGACATTAGAGTACATGGAATGGTTATCCCACGTCCCCAAGCACTACCACCACACACTTTGGGTCTTTTTCCCTTCTTCCCTCCACCTTGGCTCCCCCACTCCATCTTTCACCCAAAGCACTACATGTACATGGAATGGTCATATTAATTACAAATATCATGTTCAGTATTAGACAATTAAAGTGTGATATGTATATAATTATATTAGAGGGTCATGAGTGTAAATATCTCTTATATATATATATATATATATATATATATATATATATATATATATATATATATATATATATATATATATATTCTTATTGTAATTGTGGATACAATAACAATACAATTACTGATTACCAAAGTCAACTTGGTATCAGAGCCTTACGGCATACCCTAAAAAAAACGCCGATAAAAAAAAAAGTCGATCAAAGGCAAGCAACACTGATCAAGCCTACATCGCTTCCCTATCTTGATTCCCTCTCTTACTTCTGTTGATCTTCACATTGCCATCACCTACAATGCTGCCACCTACAGCCACCACCTACAGGGCCACCACCTACAGTAACATCCAATTTTTTTTTCTCTTTCTCTTCTTTCTGTTGCCGATCAAGCACTACAGCCTTTACCCCAACAGAGAAAACTCTACATTGTCACCATAAGTTTGGTTTCACTCTATCTCCTACAAATTATGGTTACGGGAGGGCAATGGTCCAACCATTCCTTCTCACCAACAACTTGTTCAGTTATATTGATGGCACAATTCCTTGTCCACCGATTATTATCCCATCTTCATCATTAGGCAAAGACAAAGATGGTACAGTACAACCCCCACAACCAAACCCAGATTACAACATATGGGTTTCCAATGATGCTCACGTACGTATGCTCCTCGTTTCTACCATCTCCGAGTCGTTATTCCAACATGTTCAAGGCAACACCTCTCGTGATCTTTGGCTATCTCTTGAACGAGCATATGCACCTCACACTTCCTTTAGGGGATACACCCTAAAAACTCAGCTTCTCAAGCTAGAAATGAAGGTTGATGAAAGCTTCTCTGCATACCTCACTCGAGCTCAAGAATATTCTGATGCACTTGCCAATATAGGCGAACCAGTGAAAGAAAAAGACTTAGTGATGCTAGTTATATCGGGTCTAAGAGAAGAATACAATGGGCTGAAGTCAACCCTTCTTGGTCGTCAATTCCCGACTGCCTTTGTAGAACTTCATGGTTTGTTATCAGACCATGATTACATGATCAAGAAATCAGCAACAACCATCTCTCCGGCTCAAGCTTTCACGGCTGTTACAAACAGTCACACCTCAGCCGTTCGTGGTGCTACCTTGTCCACTCCTCAACCGGATCAACTACACACTATTCAACAACTTTTTTCACAAGTTGGCCTTCAAGTTCAGCCCATTCATGCACAACCTGCTCAACCCTTTTACACCAACAGATTCGAAAATAACCGTGGTCGTGGACGTGACTCTAGATGTGGAAGAGGGAACTACAACAATAGAAATCAAGGAGGAGGTAACTGTAATCAATTTAATTGGGCTTCTAATCAAAACACTGTTTTTGGCACATGCAACAGGTGTGGGATTGGTCATATGCCATCACAATGCCCTAACCTTGATCCAACTACTTTAAGAACGAGACAGCCACCTTCGGCTAACTTTACAGACTATCGCTCACAAACTACATCCTCTTGGCTTCCGGACACAGGCTCTAGCCATCATGTTGCACCGGACCTATCAACTTTCGATAATGCTGAGGCCTATTACGGTGATGATAATCTTCACGTTTGCAATGGTAAGGGCTTACCCATTCTACATATTGGTTCCTCACAATATTACTCACCAAACAAAACCTTTAACCTTAAAGACATACTTCATGTTCCTAAAATAAAACAAAACCTTCTTTCTGTCCAAAAGTTTTATCTTGATAATCATGTGTACTTTGAGTTTCACTCCTCTTTCTTTGTTGTGAAGAACAAGCTTACACACAATATCCTTCTCATGGGTCCAAGTAATGGCAGTCTCTACTCCTTTCATCTTCCTTAAACTCAACCTATTCATAAAATAGTATTTTCTACCAACCGTGCTTCATCCACCACATGGCACCAACGACTTGGACATCCACATCCACAACTCTTGAAGTCCATGTTATCTAAATATCATTTATCTTTACAAAAAAAAAGTGTGCTAGTACTTTTTGTGATTCATGTCATGTTGGAAAATCATCTAAACTTCATCTGTCACCATCTATTTATAAAAGTTCACACATTTTGGATTTAGTTTTCTGTGATGTATAGGGTCCTGCTTCTGTTACCTCTTACGATGGTCACAAATATTTTATGTTGTGTGTTGATCATTATTCTAGCTTTATGTGGATTTTTCCATTAAAACTAAAATCTGACGTTTATATTATTTTTAAACGATTCCTTGCGATGGTTGAATAACAGTTTCAAACCAAACTAAAATCCGTCCAAACCGATTAGGGAGGCGAGTTTCGAAATCTCTCTCAGTTTTTCTCTCCTCTCGGCATTACTCATCGCCTTTCATGTCCGCATACTAGTGAACAAAATGGTTTTGTTGAGTGAAGACATCGGCATGTTGTCGAAACTGGTCTTACTCTACTTGCTTAGTCCAATGTTCCTCAACGATTTTGGCATTTTGCCTTTGACAGCGCAATATATCTTATTAACCGAATGCCGTCCCGAATGAACTCCAACACCTCACCCTTTGAACATGTGTTCAAACATAAACCTGATTTTTCCTTTCTTCGGGTTTTTGGATGTTAGTGCTTTCCTCATCTCCGTGCATACAACAAACACAAAATGGATTTTCGTTCTACACCCTGTGTGTTTCTTGGTTAGAACACTGCTCACCATGACTATCAGTTTTTAGACCCACAATCTGACCGGATCTATGTGGCACGTCATGTTCGATTTAATGAGCAATCCTTCCCTTTTCACAAACTTCCTACAATCACTTCGACTACAACCACTACAAATCGCTACATCTCGATTTATCCAAACCCTATCTTACCACCCACTGTCTCACCCTCCACAACACCTATTGCACAATCTGACTCATCGCATATGATACCTACCAACACCTCCCCCCATGAACATCCCATAACCAAACCACCTCTCATTTACAAATATCATTATCGTTCCCAAAACACCAATCAACCACCTCCGCTTATTCCTACTCCCCCCTCTAATACCGAACAACCTACACGTACTCGACCAGCCAACCTACGCCCAAATCCCAAACCAAACAAACTGTATGATGCCACCTCCTACCATACCCAATACCATTCACCTGAAACCAAACCAACAACCTTTACCATTGCTAACAGGGATCATAAGTGGTGCAGTGCCATGGAAGAAGAGTATTCAGCCCTGATGTGGAATGCTAACTGGACGTTAGTGCCACGTGTTCCAAATTCCAACATTGTTGGTTGTAAATGGATATACAAATTAAAAAGGGACCAAACAGGGGCGATTAAACGTTACAAGGCACGACTAGTAGCAAAAGGGTTTCGACAACAACCGGGCATTGATTATCAAGAGACATTCAGTCCCGTAGTAAAATCACCAACTATTTGTCACACCCCCAAACCTGAATGGCGGAAACATTTGGGGCAGAGGATGTCATGTACATGTTGGATTAGTGTCTAAGTCCATAACTATTTTGGTATGTACTTGACCCGATGGTGCATGGTCCTTTTGGGTTGCCTTCACCAAAGCAACTTGATTGGAGAAATAAATAAAGAGAGAGAGGTTATTATGATTTATGAATATGTTATAAGAATAATATATTAAAGGAGAAATCATATTTGTTTAATTAATATTGGTCAATAATTAATTAGGAATTAATTTTGTGATCAAGTGTAATTAATTAAACTAGAGGGGTTGATTTGTAATTATCTGATAGTTACAAAATAAGGTAAGGATTATCTTAGATATAGGGTGAACGAATTTAAGGAGATAATGCCTTAGAATTTGACTAGGATAAGGGTTTCTAAGACTTATCTTATGGTTACTTGGTGGGCAAGCAACTAGATAAGGATAAGGACTAAAACCCTAATCTTTACACCTATAAAAACCCCCTAAGGCTCATGAATTCGTCTAAGCCTTCCCAAGAAGTCCTAAGGACGAATTCCTACCTCTCTCCTCTCTCTTTATACCTTCTCCATTTGCTCTTGGTGTTTGTAAGCCATTAGAGGAGTGACACTTGTGACTCTATGCATTCCAAAGTCAATTCAAGGAGGAATTAGGATTGTTATTGCTACATAACAATCAAGGTAATATCTTAAACCTAATTATATGTTAATATTGATTTCCATATGCTAGAATTAGGGTTTATAGTCTTGGATTCAAAGCATGTACAATAGAGACACCTAGATCCAAGCATTAGGGTTTGTATAAGCACATAGGATGTCTTATGACCAAAACCTATCAGTGGTATCAGAGACTAGGATGGTTTCAATTGTATTGATGCATTGTATATCTAAAAAATTCGATTTTTG